GTTGCAGATGTGTCAGCAGCAGCACGTTGCTGCTGCCGCTGCTGCTGCTCCCGACGGCGGCTCCAGTAGCCCGCGGCCCAGTAGTTTGCTGCCCACAGCAGCAGCAGCTGCTGCTGCAGCACGAGCAGCGGCAGCAGCTGCGCCAGAAGCAGGACAAGTGGCAGCAGCAGCAGGAGAAGCAGACCTTCAGGTAGACATCATGGCGCTAGCACAGCAGCCAAACCAGCAGCAGCTGCTGCAGCAGCAGCAGCAGCGTACACACGAGCAGCAGGAAGAGCAGCTGCAGCAGCAGCAGCAGCAGCAGGAGGCACTGGAGCACTTACGGCGCCAGCTCTCATCTTACTCAGAAGAAGTCGAAGAGCTGCGGCAGTTGCTTCAGCAGCAGCAGCAACAGCATCAGCAGCAGCGGCAGCAGCAGCATCAGCAGCAAGCAGCGGCTGCAGCGCTGGAAGAGCGGCAGCAGCAGCTGCTGCAGCAGCTGCAGCAGCTGCAGCTAGAGAAAGATGAGGCGTGGGCCCGCGTGCAGCAGCTGCAAGAAGAAGCAGCGCTGCAGCAAGACGAACTTGCTGCAGCTAACCGGCAGCAAGTGCTGCTGCGGGAGCGTTATGACCGCAGCGCGAAGGAGCAGCAGCAGCAGCAGCAGCAGGACCTGCAGCAGCAGCGGCGTCGCCACCAGCAGCAGCAGCAGCAGCTGGAGAGCGCGTTCAGCGCGTCTCTGACGGAGCTGAAGGAAGCAGCAAAGCGGCAGCAGCAGCAGCTGCAGCAGCAGCTGCAGCAAGCAGCGCAGAAGCTGGAGGAGGCGCAGGAGCAGCACGAGCAGCAGCAGCAGCAGCAGCAGCAGCAGCAGCAGCAGATGCTGCGACTGCAGCAGGCACTGCGAGCAGCCACAAGAAAAAATGCTGAATTAAATAAAGTTGTTTATAAAGCAGCAGCACAGGAGCAGCAATTTGAGGTGTCTGTACAGCGGCTGAGCAGCAAGCTGCAGCGGGCAGTGGAGGAGTTGCGGCTGCTGCAGCGGGACAAGCAGCAGCTGCAGGAAGCAGTTGCTGCAGCGGAAGCAGCGCAGCAGCAGCAGCAGCAGCAGCAGCAGCTGCTGCTGCAGCGGGCAGCCAGGCTGCAGCAAGAACTCACAGACACACAGGCAGCTTGCACCCCTCGGGAGAAGCTGCGGGAGCTGCGCTGCGAGCGGGACTTGCTGCAGCAGCAGCTGCAGCAGCAGCAGCAGCAGGTCCAGCAGCTGCAGCAGCAGCTGCAGCAGCAGCAAACCCAGCAGCAGCTGCAGCAGCAGCTGCAGCAGCAACCCTCTACTGCCGCCGAGCTGCAGTCCCTCAAGGCCGCCGTCGCAGCAGCAGCAGCAGCGCAGCAAGCAGCAGAAGCGCATGCAAGAGAGACGAAGCAAACAGCAGCAGTGCATGCTCGCGTGCTGCAGCAGCAGGAGGAGCAGCTGCAGCAGCAGCAGCAGCTGCTGCAGCAAAAAGAAGAACTGCTGCAGGAAGCCAACAGCGTCGCCAGACGCCGCGAGAAGGAGCTCGAAAGAAAGCTGGAAGAATATGCAGACAGGTTAAATCCTAAACCCTAAACCCTAAACCCTAAACCCTAGGCCTCTTTTCAAAACCCTCAATCCTAAAATGCTGCCGCAAAGGAAGCGATTTCGAATAGCAGAAGAGCCAGCGGCAGCGGAGGCTGCTGCAGCCACGCAGCTCCACCTACCCTGTGCTGCTGCTGCTGCTGCTGCTGTTGCTGCTGCTGCTGCTGCTGCTGGTGTGGGGTTTAGGGCTCGAGAGT